CCATCCATCACTTACAAATGCAGCCATGGCAACAGTTAAACTACTTCAAAAAATTCAGTAAAATAGTGAATTTAGTTCAATTGACAGACACAAATTTTCTTCCAATGTAAAGGTATTGTCAACAGTTCTAATACAAGATTTTGTCCTAAGAGGTAAATAAAGCTCTGAGAAGTGTTTTATGTTCAGAAACCTGGGTCAAACTGTTGCCTTTTAGGTATTTTGAAACATAAAAGTTACCTACTGCAGATAGTAGGAAACAACTTGTTCAACAACTAATAATCTCGAGAAATACAACAGAATACCTATAACTTCAAAACTGAGAAAGCATACTACCAGGATCTGCAGGATTTGAAGGACACTAACTGCTGTAGTTGGAGGAATAAAGGTCTGTGTGTTGCTGAAGGAGTGTCTTGGGCAGCAAGTGTCTTTGCCTCCTATGAACCAGCACACAAAGCTGCTATGTGGCAGTTTAGGCAATTCAAGACTGACCTATTGTCTCTCTCCGCAATAGCAGCAGGAGGGTAAGCAGCCCATAATGTCTGTATGCAGGATTTCTGTGCTTATATAGATTTTTTTCAATTCCTTTTTTTGTCTCTCACTGAGACTTTGTTGTTCTTTATGCTTCTCCTTTATCATATTTTATGGCTGTCAGACACTAGAAAGCTTGAAAATCTTATATTGCATATTTTACCATTTTACCTTTCCTCACAGTGTCAGTTCTGATCTGCTTTCTTCAGTATCAAACTGTTGGAACTAGAAATACCTGTTACATTGGTAAGCCTATCATATAAAATCTTGGAGTTTCAGTTTTCAAATTTAAAATTATTCTATAATGCTACTGCTTTGTGAAACATTACTTGCTAGGATAATTTAAAGTTGAAAAAAAAAACATAATAAATATTAACATCTGTATCTCATAAGCAAGTATGTGTTGCAGATATTGTAATGCTACTGCTTTGTGAAACATTGCTTGCTAGGATAATTCAAAGTTGAAAAAAAAAACCATAATAAATATTAACATCTGTATCTCATAAGCAAGTATGTGTTGCAGATATTTCCATTTTCTGAAAAAAAATGAGCCTAAAGTCATCAAAATATTTTTCCCCATGCTTTCAATCATGATTTTCAGTAATTTCAGCTGGTTTACAATATCTCTTTTCTCCAGTGATCAGAAAGATTTCAATCTGACCCTGAGTTCTTTGTATTAAAACATTCAATTTGCAAAAGGCAGTTAACCACACCAGTGACAGTATTTGAAATTGTGAGGCTAAAAATTTATTGAAGCCAATAAAAATGGGAGGCTATTACACAAAGCAGTACAAAAAGATGCAAGCTTGGCTCAGGGAGGGCATGAGCCCTGCCATCATACTGGCTTATAACTGGTGGGAAAATTGTAGGAATGAGCTTACCTCCCTATCACTCATCTTTTTTACAAAATAAGAAGAAAAATAATACAACTACCAGTTTCTGCTCTTAGCTACTCATTCAAATACATGCTTACTAGGTTCTTTGTTCTTTACACTAAAACCTTCAGGAATACACATTGCAAGAAACAAGATTACACACTGTAGCTGAGCTTCCTTTTAGATCTAGAATGGTATAAGCTAGGTACAAAGGATCATTAATCTAACAGTTTTCATATTTCCATGTTCAAAATATGTTTAATTCTCCAAATCAGAGGCAGAGAGAAAAGGTTGGGAAAATGTCCTACATTGATTCTTCAAAGCTCATTTCAGATATAAGGCTCCCACCCAAACTGGAGGAATCTCAGGTAATGACACCATGAAGACAAAGCCTTGGGAAGAGGATTCAGAAATCCCTCTTTGCCTGTACAAAAAAATCTATATAGCAGGAGCAGTATTGTGCACTGTTTTTTTCTGAGAGTAGCACTAGCTTCTTTCTTCAGTAAATAAAGAACATGTAATGCTGTAAACATTCCTCACACAGGAGGTATGTGCTCCATTTGTGGTTGTTGCACAGTTTGAGCTGCAGGGATAAAACGTAAAGAAAATCTAGATCAATGGGAAGAGCTTGACATCCCTTTTTTGTTTCTAAATGGTAGGGCAATAAGGGAGATATTCCATGTTCAATAGCTGCTATTTTTAGCTGCTTCCCTTTTTTCTAGTTAGGCTTTTCTCTGAGCTATATGGGGTGTTCCTGTTTTAAAACTTCATAGTTTCATAGAAAAGAGTAAATCTTTGCCTGGAATGAATTTAATATGATGGGGACTTGTAAATATGTTATTTTTCTTTCCCTCAAGGTGTAACTTTGTAAGTTTTATTTAGTGTAGCTTTACCTGGTTATATATATTTTGTATCACTAATGTAGGAGATTCCTGGGTTTTTGCAAATTCAGGGCTCCAAACTCACCCTGGATCAGATGACCATCAGTGCTGAAAAAAAAACACCTATTTGTGATTAGAGCAGGACCCAAACAGCACCAGTGTGATCAGCAAAAGCTGCTGTGGAAGTAAATAATCTTTAAAGACAATCTTAGGAAAGTCTAAGCCTAACCTCAGCTTCTATACTTAAACTAGAAGCGTATTTCTATATTGCTCTATGAAAGATTTTGTGTGTGCATAAGACACAACTCTTTTGTCTTATAGGCTGCTACAGACTGCTTTGAAACTTGCATGCAAAAACCTAGCTTTGTTTCTTCTTTAGCACATTTTGCTTAGTGTAATATCAGCATGACCAATTTTGGGTAGAAATAAATTTGAGATTCTACATTTAGTGCTTGGTGGCTTTCACAGCACAGAACCAATGCAAGTGAGGTGGGATGTGAAACATTCTTCAAGGAGAGTCTTTCACACAGATGTGTTGAATAAATCCTGGGCTGAAAAGTCATTTCTCCAAAACTGCCTCTCACCCTGATGCTCAGGCTGTCTTGAGGCATCACTGTCCGTCTTAAACATTTCAGGGGGATTTGTCAATTGTAACCAAAAGACTGTTATACACATGAAGAAGAAAGAAATGTATTTGTTTTTGGTGACAACTTGAACGCAGTGGAGTATGATTTTTTTTTCAGGTTTGCTGTGTTAGGATCGGGTATGTCTCTTTTTTCAGAGATACTCACCCTCATTTTACTGCTATAAAGGTCCTAAAAACGATATCTGTTGTTTGTACTTCTTAGCAAAAGGAGAAAACCTGCATCTAAGCATAAATCAGAGACTACTGAATAATGACTGTTGTTAGGCTTAAGATGCATCCGGAGACTGCAGAAATTACACAGTTTGCTTGAAATGTAATTGATCGTAATTTCATTGATCCCCTCTTATTTTCTGGCATGCAAAAATAATTGGTCCAATCTAACCACTAGTCAGTACCTACAAGTATTTGTGAAATAGCCTGACACTTATGGACAAGTTAATTACAAAGGTGGTAGCAGCATAACTAGAATTTCCTCCATTTTCTTATGCCATCAACCAATTTTCAGGCTGTTACAATAAGGAATTTAGGGCTTACAGATGCAGAAAAAAAGCCAAACATTCACTTCATTTTCTGTAACAGTGGTCTCATTCCACTGAGTAGGAAATACTTGCTGACTCAAATAAGAAAGGTGAGACTAGGCTACCTTAGAGCTCTCTGTTTTTCTCCTTCAGTGACAGCTGAGGAAAATGTGGCTAATTACTCATCATACATGGATACTTTCATGTGAAGTGTGCTGTTCTCTTTAAGCACACACAAGGACACCCACCCACTCAAGAGTATAATACAGTTGCTTAGGCCAAGCAGCAGAATGTGTGATTGCTTTACACTGCACATGGATGTTACAGAACTAGTGGTTGATTGTCTGGATTCCTAAAGCCTTGCCAAGATACAAAAGAGGATAAAATTATGCTCCTGTGAAAGACCATACTATGTTGTAGAATCAGGAGCAAAGTGAAGCCGTGCACATTTTGGCCCTGCAAATGAAATGTGTGCATAGCTCTCAGCAGTGAGCAGTGGGTAATGGTGCTCACGAGGTGTAACTGATCAGCTTAGCAATGTTTTCTCTAGATTTATTTCTGTATGTTTATTTCTGTGAATTTATTTCTTACCATTCTCCCCTAACTGAATAATGATGATGAAACTTGTCAGTTCATGCAGAATGTGGCTATAAGAAGTGGAATATTTTACTTTTTTGGAGGCACGGTAAGGTATTGTATTGATCTTTAAACTACTATGTAGTCTGGATATAAACTATATGATAGGCTGCCTATCATGCTGTGGCTGCTGATTAAGAGATGCACTTTTACTAGCAAAATTTAAGAGGATCACAGCACTTTTTTTTTTTTTTTTTTTTTTTTTAATTAGAGCATGCTTGGACTTTGCTCCTTAAAATCAGAAATGCTTGAAGTGTAACTTTTGAGTTCATACTTTTGGGGGGCTTTTTCTAAAGCATGTGTATGCTCAGCATTCCCATCCACCTTGGGCTTTGAGTCTGTTCTTAGCTAAATCGTAAAACTTGTACATGGGATGCTAAAACTACTAATGGCTGTACCAGGAGGTAAATAAATCTGGAGATAAACAGCCCGAGTTCTCATTTGGCAATTTACTTACTCATCCCGCAGTTTACCGCTGTGTGTGTACACATGAATGTATGTAAGGACACAAAGATCATTAAGTGCATATGAGGATGTAAGAAAGGATTACTTGCATTACTTCCATATTTTGGAATGCATCCAGATGAGTTTTGAATGTCTCCAGAGAAGAAGACTCCAGCCCTTCCCTGGGCAGCCTGCTCCAGTGCTCTGCCACCATCAACATAAAGCTTTTTCTCATGTTAAGATGAAACTTGTGTTATAGTTACGGGCATTGCTCCTCATCCTGTCACTTGGCACAGCTGGAAAAGGTCTGGCACCATCCTCTTGGCACCTGCCCTCGAGATATTCCTTTGCATTAATTAGTTCCTAAAGAGTAGTTCATATTTTATTCACAAAAGTACAAGTTGAGAGGAAGGTGGTGGTGTTTGCTTGCTTAGTTGGTTGGGTTTTGTTTAATTTTTAAGGGCAAGAAATTATGAGAGAGCTCCAGCGCTCATGGAATAGTATGGCTGCACTCCTGCGGGACCGAGTCCCACTTTCGGCAGCTCTGTCCCGCTGCCGTGTCTCCCGCTGCGGAAGGACAGTGAGCACTCCGGCTGGGGACGGTGAGCTGGGCGGGATGGGGCCGTACGGAAGGGCAGTGAGCAGCACCCCGGGCCACAGGGAGCCGCGGGCGGGCGCAGCGCTGCCCCGCCGGGCCGGATCCCGCCCGGGCCTGGCGGCGGCGGCCGCAGCTGTCAGGGCTCGGCTGCTGTTGAGGCGCGTTCCCCCGGCGCCGTGCCCGGCGTGGGGCCGGCACACGGCAGCTCCCGGGGACCCCGCGGCGGGGGACGGCTGTGGGAATGTTTTGCTCTGCTTCTGCTGTGGTGATTTCTGCTGCTGAAGTAATCTGACATAAGTATACGTGTTTCTTCTACCAGCCCGTTCAAGTGCGGAGCTTCTTAGCTGCTGGCTCGCCCGTCTGTGTAATGCCTTGTCAGGCCCGTTGTGCCCCGTGCCCTGAGGTTCTCCGACGAGCGCTTTTTCTGCCACATAACCTTTCACAAGCTAAACTCGTGTGCCCGTGTCCTACATCCGTCTTCAGCCCCTTGCGCACTTAAAAGCCCCATGCCCGTCATCCAGTTAAAAGAACCTAGCGAATTACATTTGTTAAGCCTTCATACCCTCCGTTCAGGCATCAGACCTTGTCCAGCTTCCCTAGGGGATATGCTTTTACCGAGACTTGAGAAAGTGAAACTGTCATAGTTAAGACAAGACCGATTAAACGAAATCCAGTTTCCCCCGAATCGGACAGTTCAGTATAATTTAATTTGCAAATACTGAAAGACAAAAGTAATTTAAATTAGGTTTCTGTTCACCTAAGGGTATCTGTTCTGCCTTAATTGAACAAAAATTACTTTTTTATAGCCTCTTATGTGCGTTCTTTTTAATATATCTGATGTTACATTTTTATAAATGATGAAAGTTTTCTTCATTATGGAATTGTTTCTGCATAAGTGCATTTGAGCAGCAGAGATCTTGGAAGTTGTGTACTGATTAAATGCTTTATCCACATATCAGAAGGACTTAGGCTAGCCTAAAAAAACCCTTCATTAAAAAAGAAAATTGACTGAAAAGTACTAAGGAATTAAAAAGCACTTTTCATATATAGGGAAGTTATATAGGGAAGTTATTTGAGTAGTCTCTGCCTTGCTAATGTCAGAATTCAAACCCTTTCAACCCAAGGAGAAGGCACACAACTCTTTAGGCTGTGAGTGGTTTCCACAAACCTTTGTGAAATTCTGTATGCTCAAATGCTGCATTTCAGAGTAGACTAGCAGTGGGTTGAACTGCATTTTAGCAGTCACCTTTTCTTGAAGAGTATTAAAAAAAAAGTTTTACAGGTGATGCACAGGAGTGTGAATTGAATTTACTGTTTTGTAAAAGAAAACTAGGAAGCACCCAGAGCACAGACTCACCAAGTCACTGTCACAGTTTGTAGTTAGGAATAGTGTGGGTTGTGTGCTGGTTCACTGGCTTGTAAATGCTCTGATTAGATATTATCACAGTTACAGGTATGGTCGTAATTGAATCTGTGCTACTTTATTGGTAATAAAGTAGAACACATGAAAGAACTGCATTGATATCTACAATTGTACCTTAGATGATTTAAAGCATAGTAATCTCTTACAGATCTATTTATTTTATACAGGTGAATTATTGTAGAGTAGAAGCCCCTAATTTCTTATAATGAAATTTCAGGGTTTAGAGCCACAGGGAGGTAACTGATGAGAAGACATCCCGTGTAAATTGAGTTACTTTTGTGTTCCATACTGATATAACTGATTTCTGATCTTGCTTCCCTAGCAATGAATAGGAATTCTCTGCTAAGCTGTGTGACTTAATTTGGGCCAGGTTTTTAAAGTCAATTCAGTGTAGACTGGTGGGGTGTGATACATCCCTTGCATATATAGTTTGTGTTCCCAGGCTGGCTGTTTGCTTGGTGAGGGGCTGAGTGCCTTGTTCAGCCCCTTGTGGAACTGGGAATTTGTCCACAGGCTCCTCAGTGGGGAACCTGGAAACTGCACCTGCCCAGAACTATAGCTGTCTCCAGCACCACAGAATATGAGAAGTTGTGAGATCCTTCTTCTTCTGTGACTACAGAGCATTTCAGAGATGTTTGTTTTCAAAATTTTTCTGAGAATGTTACTCTTTCCCCTCTGTGAGTAAAATGAGGAGGAAATGCCTTTCATCTTTTTTATTTTTTATAGTAACAGAGGGACATACCTGGAGTTGATTCTGTTGCAGTACAGCTTCAAAGCCTCACACTTTCAAGTTTGCCCAGAAGTGCCAAATAAGTTGGGGTTTGCTTTGCTTTTTTTTTTTTTTTTTTTTTTTTTTTCCCCCCCCCCCCTTTTTTTGGGGGGGCTCTATAGGTCACCAGTTTGGTTTACAAGCCCTGTCAGTAATGCATGGTTGAGTATTTTCTATATTTCATAGTTAGGTTAGCCAAAACTGTGTATATTAAAGGAATAATAAACTCTTCTCCAAAAGGGTATTTATATGAAAATCATCAAACTACCCTGAAGAACTACACAAGTTACAAACATTAGTTGGACTAATAAAGAAGGTGTAGCAAGTAACTGAGACAATGTGAAGTGATCTGGTTTATATGCTCTAGATAAGATATAAGATTACAGACAAGTAATTTGACATAGTTGTTCTTTCTGGTCAGACACGGCTTTGACATTTAGGATGGTGAAACTGGTAATGAGCTTTTAAATTGCCATTTTATGTTGGACTCTGCATGTTACTGTACAGAAGTGTGCTATGGGATCTCCATCTGGGAAGTGATTAAATAAATAAAATACCAGCTTTACTGAATATTTTACTGAGCAGTGTTTCTGATACAGTTAATTTCTCGCATTTTTTTCATCTGCAGACCTTGGTAATGCTCATGGTTTTATAAAATTCAAACTTTTCAGTATTTCTAAGAGGAAGTAAAAGGACTCAAAATTAGATTATTTTCTTTTTTTTCCCTGAAATCAAAGTATTCATTTCAGATTTTTTTTGCTGCCATAAGCTGCTGAATCAGTCTGTTTCCATCTTTCTGATGATGCGTTTTGAAACAGGAGTTATATTTCTTTTTTTTTTTATTGTTATAGCTTGCTCTTTGAAAAGCATATTTAACCACAAATTTCAGCATATTAGATACCATTCTCATGTTAAGAATGAATCATAAAAATCTTTATAGCACTATTTATATTCAAATGGTAGAAGTATCACTTTGTATTTTTCTCACTGTTAAAAAGCAATTCAGAAATTTACAACTCAAACAATAAATACTCCCTATAGTAACTTCCAGTACTTTTAATGTAATGTTTTTTTAAAAGTTAACCATAGAATATACAGATAACAGTTTTGGGGAGACTTGACTGTCCTGGTATTCCAGACTTACAATTAAATATGTCCTATAATTCTGATTTTTTTTTTTTTTTTGACAAATGAAAAAAAGTGGTTTAAAACTTGTGCAAGAGAGTTTTCAAGATCTAATGTACTTGGCTGCACTGTGCAATATATGAGTTGGGCAATTAGCTGGAAGAAAATATTAATTCACATTTTCCATTAATTTGTAGACAGACTCATGTCTCCAGAATTTGACATTAGCATTATGAGCTGCAAGTGATGCATGGTGGAAGTTCAAACCATTTGATTGTAGTACACTTTCAACATTTTTTAAATGATCCTAAGGTAGTTTCATCCCTGTCTCGAAAATCATCAGGCAGGCAAGGAATTATTCCCATTTCAACTGTGCAGCAGCTCTGGGGAAGACATGCACTTTCATGGTTTGAGGCATGAGAGAAAAATATTCCCCTTTCAATAAAGTGTTTAATCGTTCTCTTCTCTCAGTTGAGAGGTAATGTATTGTTGGCAGCACACTGTGTCTTTTTCTTACGAGATCTATCATTTCTGGCTATGGGTGGATGTGTAGGGTGTGGTTTCTCTGTGAGCTTATGTTTCTCAGCATTAGCTAAGGTTGCCTTTAAATGAAGGAAAGTCATTAGCAGATGTCCTGGACAGCTGCTGAAAACCAACATTTTCTGCCACATCAACAGCTTTAGTGACCCTACTCCCGTAGCCATTCATTTCAGACTAAGAAGTCCTTTCTCCTTTGTAGGAAGGTGCCCATTGCCCTGGCACCAGAGCGTCACCATTGTGGCTACAGCTAAAACCCACATGGAGACGAAGATAATGATGAGTTCCTGAGGAGTACTTAGTTTCAGCTTTTTGTGAATGTTTTCTCTCCTCTGCTTGCCTTATATCTTGGGTGCCCAGGTCCCAGGTAGTGTCCTGTATCTGTCAGTGCTTAGTCTGTGTATTACCTTTTCACGAGCTAGAAGTTAAGGAAAGTAAGCCCAGCCATAATCCTTCAGGCAAAATTGACCTTGTCTGGAAATTTATTTTGTATGTAGCACTCTTTAATTTTGCAGAATTCTCCTTAAAGCTCACCTAGAGCTTTCTCTAAGCAGAAAAGAGCTACTTCCTCTTTCCATTCCTATGGCAGAGATCTGAGGTTTTTCCACCATCTGCAGAAGCTCACTGCCCTGGTGTGGTGATTCGCTGAAGGGCCATTGTCCAGCTTTGTGCATAGGCTACTGACCCTGAAGGAAAATGCCATGAAGATCTGGGAATGACTCTAGCAAGAAAGTGGGATACCCCATTGTAGGGAGTTACCTTGCTGCTGTGCTTCCAAGGTGTATTTTACAGTGTTGTCTGTCTTCACAGCTGGACATGGGGATGTCTGGAGTGAGGACTGTTGGCATGCACAACTTCTGCACTGCCTGCCAGAGCCTGTTGTCATCTGGCATTTCCTCACCTGGCTGCAGATGTAAAAGCAAAGGTTCAACATAATACCATGTAATAGTGTAGAAAGTCTGAAATGGAAAGTCATGTCTGTGATTTTAATTCAAGATCTTCAGTTCAGTGCTGCCTCTGGGCAGCAAAGACGACAATCTTTGTCTCTCCTTTAGGTGTTGCTTCAGTCTTCTACTCTTCAGGCTCACAAATGCAGTGTTAACCAGCACACACAAATTCTGGTGATGTTCTGCAAAGAACCAAATAAGTGATTTAACCTCCTCTATACTCCTACAGCATATCAGTGAAAAAAAGGATACCACCTCACAATCTTTATAGATTAAATTAAAAGGAAGAAAAATACAGACTCCTAAAATCTGTACTGGAAGATGACCCCGCCGAGGCTACGTGCAGGATCAAACTGTGAAGTGTCTGGCTACTTGGTCCTTGCATGTTGTGTTACTTAAAACATCAAGAATAGTGGTAGAGTATATGACAGGTC